TGCATGCAGAAAAACATACTTGCTCTACTTGATGACGCCTTCCTCCAAAACTTCATAACGTTAAGGCAATTGCTAACAAAGGAGGAATTTTCTTACTGCACGGCTGATCTTTGGGATGCACAAAAACTTTTTAGTCCTCATGATTAAAGGAAGACAGGCAAATGAGCATAAAACTCACAAGGCAAAGCAATAATTCCTTCATATGCTTCCTGAAAAGTTATTGAGTCGGTCTCTTCACCTTACTCATGCACAGGGGCAATTCTGTTTAAAACTTTAATACAATTGACAACACATTAAGAGATCTTTCATCTTCTATTGGTACAACTACGCCCAAATCCCAACCTAGTCAGTCTTGGCTACATGATTCTGACTAATTAATTATTCCGTTTAATTTCATGTCTTAGTTTGATTCGACACGAAATTTAAGAATATAAATTAGACTTTTGAATTTTCTGGTCTGAACTAAAGGTGTGCATTAACCAAATATACATTTTGAGTCTTGTGGTCTTAAAGATGCCATCTCATTCTTATAATGATGTATCATTAAGGGTAAAATAGGAATGTTGGAATTAAAATCCTAAATATAGAAAGAGAAATCTTTCTGAAAAGGACTTAAACGAAAGTAAGACACATAAATTAAAAAAAAGGGAGCATGTAGCTCTATTTAAACCCATAGCAATCCAATATTTGGATTCTCTGGCATTTTAGGTTCTCCACATTTTCTACTAAAATAGAAATCTCTAACAAGACAAAGACTTATAATACGATTTGATTACTTCACCAAAAAAAAAATTGTATCATTTATTGGATCACTTTCTTCCATTGTACGCTAATTTGTGCGGAGTCTGCATGAATTCCTAGAGATTGTAGGTCTTTTAAGACAATCCTTCTACGTTATTTTAGGTTAAGCCATCCTGTTTTAACACATTTTATCACTGTGATTTCACACATGAATTAGTGTGTCTAGAGGTTGACATAGAACAAGACGAGACTATCTTAATTCTTAAGCAACCTTTTCTCATTTAATCCACAATGTGTGCTACTTGCACTTTCTGCCGAAAGTGAATATTTCTGATCTAGTCTAAAATTGTATGTTCACATATCTTCACATTCGCATTCCCTTGATATTCATTTTGATACATAACATTGTCAACCTAAGAACCATTCTATAAGGACTTGTTTTTTAACTCATTTCTCTCCTTTGAATTGATGATATAGTTATTTTGGTCAAATGAGAGACAATATACCTTGATATTCTTGATCATTCTTTGATTCAAAGTATCAATCGATCTCAATTAAAAAAGTAAATAGCATTTTAAAGAACTAGATTTTTGAAAGGTTTCCTCTTATATATCACTCCAGCAGAACTTTCCCATTTCAACCATCCTACTCTGATTCTATACGTAACATCTTTATCTATCAAACCATTCTCCTAAAACTTCAAAAAGATATTAAGATTTATGTACAAAAAAATCTTAAGTGAGTGCTCCATTCTATCTTCTCTGAGTACTAAATTGAAAAATATCTCGATCTTTAAATGTACATACCAGTTTTATTGGATGTCAAACACAAACAATGGACAATGAATTGATATTCAATTTTTACCAAGGAAATTAAGTGTTGTCAACCAAAGTTGCTAACCTATCCCAGCTTGCATATAGCATTCTGGTCATAACAAGATCAGCCCAGTGTACTAGTGTTTTCTCTAATCAAAATTATAATTTCATCCAGAAATGACAAAAGAGAGAAAAAGAAGGAAACAAAACAAAAAGAGAAAACACTAGAAAAAATTGGACTCAATTTGTGGCCACGATATTGCAAAAAGACTAACCTTTGGATCCTTGAAATGTGCTTTAGCAATCAACTCTGGAAGCTGACCCATAAATATATAATAGAACGTCTCCAACAAGAGCAAATTATCATGACGAAGATAGCTACAAGAGCCACCAACTTGTTGTGAAAGAACTAAGATGACTTCCATTACGTTCTCTTGAAACAAGAGCTCCAGAAACCTGTCTCTGAGAAATATAAATTCTATCATAGAACCACCAGATTTCTGCTGGGTTGATATGTCTTGGATAGCCAAAACATTACGAAATAAAGTAAGCACCAGCTGCACCATTTTCCAATCATCTTCTGTGAATGCCTCGCTGTTGACATGGTGAGATAAGTTTGTACCCAGAATAACTTGTATGAATCCATGATGAAGCAGTAGTCTATCTTATGTAAGCTTAACATTCTTAGAGTTAAGTACAGAGAAGACAACAAAGGACTATGACATGTCAGTGTGAGTGATAAATAGCCTCTATAACAGAATGTTAATGAAACTCCGGAAAGAAAATATAAATAGTATTTCTTCAAAGTTAACCTAATAAAAATATGTGGTAAAGGCAATATGAGTATTGGTACTTTGGCAAGGATCTTTACAAATGCACTCCAAACTTGAAAAAGGTTAAACTTATCATACTGGATATATGTACGTATCTGATACCCTAGTTGAGTCTGCATCCATGTAAAGCAGTGCCTATTTTGTAAAGTGGAGAATGACACAAATATGTCACAACTTCAAAATGATTCAGCTAAAGAATAGGACTGGGTTACAAGATTGGATTAGCTTGTTGCATGTGTTAATTTTAGAGTATGATAACTATTCAAAACAGTAACCTCTAATTTTCTGTGGCTAATGCACTTGCCAATTTGACCATTATGTCACTTGCCTTCACGGAAATAAATCCATAGGTTTTAGAAAAACAATCCTGCTAAGCAGATAACGGTGAAATTTTCAATAGACATATTCTTAATTTCTATCTCCAGAAACCATTTCTCAAAGCTATTAAAACATGAATGTCCTATACCTAATACTACATGGGTCAGACCAACTTTTTACATCACTCTAAGGAACACATTCTAGCAGCCAAACATGATCCCAGTTACCAATTTGACATGTGTATGTACAACAACATATCCAATGTAATCCAACAAGTGGAGTCTGGGGAAGGTAGGATATACAAACAAAAATATGAAGTCATAAGATGATTGCAATTACCAAGCCAAATTTTCCAATGGGCTTTCCAAGAGAGACATTATCACTGGCACAGCTTCACTAAAGGTAATTGATGATTTTATTCCCCAGAGAAGCTCTATCTGTTGCGGTATGTCATTTGATGTAGGCTCAATAGGCATCGTTAGAAACACCATAACTTTTACTGTACAATAAGACAGAGAGCAAAGGCACACATAATTAATATAAACAATAAATTTCATGTTTCCTGATATAAAATGAATGGAAAATGGATAAAATAAGACAGATACCTGCATTCAACAGCAGATTTCGATCATCTTGACAATATTCAATAATGGGAATCAAATCTTTGCCCACGATATTCCATTTACATACTTGCTTGAAAACTTCTCTTGTTTGAGGGTCATCTCGCCTTAGAAACCTCAACAAATCCTTCAAATTATCTGCCAATGAACCAGGATTACTAAAAATCAAATTAAACAAAACCATCGAGACAGCTCAAATTTGACATCAAGTTACAAACTTAACACCCCCTACACTAACAGAAACTAATACGAAGCTAGAAACAGAAATCAGCTTAAAGATGAAAACTTTTCATCAATCAATCAAATCACTCTTCTCGGCCCAATTCAGTCCAATAATTAGAAAAAAAATAAAGGAATTGAACGAACAAACAGCCATTTGGCTTGAACTAAAGGTAATTTCTAACTGTTTTAGTAACGACAAACCTAGGCAGTAATTTCCTTTGGTATAGCCGATTCGATTTCCATCATCGTCCTCCTCAATGATCCCAAGGCCAGCGCATATTATTGACAACCCTTCCATTGATTATGAAGTGTTTGAAGTAATTTCTTTCTGTATTCGAGTACAATTGGGTATCAAATGGGATCTGGGGTGAGCTTGTATGGTAGTTTTGGAAGAAATTTTTGGATCTTTTTTACGAACTGATGAGTAAGTGTTAGGGTTTAGATGGCGCCAAACGGGTATCTGAAATTATTTCCCGCGCTTTGGAAATGATAAGGTGTTACAAGGACCACCGAAGAAGTCGAGTACCCGTGATGTGGCAGACTATCATTTTTTCTTAACATGGAGAAAACCTTTTTTCTCTTTTATTTTTTGTTGTTTTAGGAGTATTTTTTTGTTTCTGATGGCAAAGGGGAAAATGCTCTAAATTTAAAATAAATCCTTGTTTTAGGAAATAAACTCAACAAAACTTATTATTTCTCTTTCATATATTCTTTTTTAAAAGGGAGCTTTCAGATTTTAAAAATCGTGAAGTTTGAAAGAAAAAAAAGTACTATGACAATTTGTTTTCAAATTTTCTTGAATAAGGGTCTATCAAAAATATTTTTTTATTTTCCAAGATAGGAGTAAAATATGTGTATACTCACCCTCCACAAAGTTCATTTGTGGAACTACACTAGTATGCTTTGTGGTTGTTATTTGTTTTCAAGTTGAAAATGATGTTTAGAAACTGGAGTTGTGTTTAGACATGAATACAATTTGGAATTGTTTTGAGATTTTGTGAGTGATTTGAGTGAAAATAGTTTTTTTTGAGTTCTTTGAATTTCATAAATTTTAACAATTCTATATCTGAAATAATTTGCAGGTGTTATTTTAAAAATTCCTTTGGTCATCGCAAGGTCAGGAGTTGACAGGAGTACGATGAAAATGAATTTTCAAATGATTAGATTATAAAATTTCATATTTAAAAATTGGTGATTTACTAGTGAAGTATGAAACTGATAGAACCGTAGAAGTTAAAGAATCTTAAAGAAGCAATGCAAGTAAGTCAATGAAAGATTAGAGAAGCTGGGAGTTGCTACTGTTAAAAAATAATTTCTTGAGCATAAATGCGATTGTGGTAGACTGATATACTAGGTGGAAACTTTTAGTACTATACCTCCTCCCTTTCTACTTTAAGGTCGTAGTTTAATTTGTACATAATTTTTTAACAAAAAACTTATAACTTATATGCTTAGTATAAGACTTTGATATTAAACCTTACAAAATAAATATAGTACTCAACATAGATTCTTCTTCATTACATTTGTTACGGAAGAACAACGATTCACTCCAATAATCTTCTCATACAACAACCACATTCAAGTGCCGGCTTCATTGATTTGATGTCCAAGAGAAGAACATAATATGGTGTCCTAGGCCAAAACATACAGAAGCACGAAGCAGATAACAATAAATATAACACCCTAGCAATCCTGCAAGAAAAACTCTCGGTAACACTGCCGACTGAGATCTATTCCTATTTGATGGCTGAAGCGTCAATACTAATAATAACTCCCAACTACAAAGGAGTGGATCTTCTTAAGCTGGTTCCAAGTTTCTCATCTGTCTAAACTTTCCTGACCTGGATATTGTGAGTGGATTGGAGCCGCCAGATTGGCTGGCTGCCACTCTGAACAAGAGCTACTTGCTCCCCTTCCTTAACCATCCCTTGCTTCTGTAGATTGATAAAGGGTAAAGATTATAAGAGGAACACAACTGTCGTCTAAAATTATTGTAATAAAACACTGGCAACATAAACATTTAGGAGAATATCATGGAAGAAGAGAGGAGTATAACTAGTTAATGGAATTTGATTGTCTGAATTATCATATCAAGATTTCACTTTTAGTTATAAAGGGCAGATAATAGCAGGCTATACGTCATATGACAAATCATTCGTTCATCTATGACCATGAAATGAGCAATTTCAAGCATTCGTTATTAGCATTCCTCAATGCATATACTGTCTATTAAGCAATAACTGTAAATGATATGATGAAGGTAAATCTCACCTGCAATAAGGACAATGCACTAGTGAAAGTCTCCTCTGCGCAATCTAAGAACTCCATATATATTGGGCATACGCCTTGGTACGAAGCCAGTCTCTGTTGAACTTTCTTACTGCAGCCCAAACATAAATAAATGATTAAAATTCACCTACTTGATAGAAATCATTCACAAGGTTCTTCCCAGATTTCCCTCAAAACATAAACATACCCAAAGGCAGCAACTAAGAAATCTCAAGTTGCTTATAAAAAAGGAACTTTTTATCATCAAGAGAACACTATCTACGTTTCCCTAGGTGTCTTTAAAATGCATTTAACACATTCATCTTCTACATATCAATTACTGATAATAAGGTGTAACCAATAGTGTGTGTGGTGTGTTCATTCAACTGTAAAAGTAATAACAGCGCCAGGACAATAAATGGTTCACTGTAATGGTATTAATGAAACCAGTTCAGCTGAAGAATTTGTCTTCAAACATTGACATCAAAGTTAGACCAATAGAGTAAATACTCACTCATTTGTAAAAGCAAATATAGTGCCAGAAGGACGATAATGGCTCAATAAGATTGCCATGAAACCAGTTCTAGTGAAGACAACAATTGAGGTTCCAAGAGTGTTGGACATCATGGTTGCATGAAAAGCGAACATCTCGCTCATATGGTTCTGCAAAACATAGAAAGTTATGGCAAGTATTAGCTCCTTCAGACAATTTATTTCAAGAAAAAGATGAGGTAAATATGTAATCTACAGATGAGACTAAAAACCTTGAAGGCTTGGCCTAGATTTGCAGGGGTTTCACCACCAACAATAGTAGCCTCAGTCCGTAGTGACACGGTATGCATAACTTTGACAGCTTTCAAGGGAAACCTGTAACCAAATGAATCCAAATTGTGAGAGATGCGGATAGGTTATAAGCTATGTTGCTCGGACTCTTCAAAAATGCCAACGGGTGCGTGTCGGATTCGCCAAAAGTAGTGTATTTTGAAGAATCCGAGACGGGTGCGGCATCAATAGTGAAGAGTCAGCGCAACTAAGGTTATAAGACAACTTATTGTAAGAAAATCTTCACTTCTGAACTTTGGTGCCCCAAAGCTATTAGATTCATAAAATAGGATACCAGCAGAAACACTTATCACTCAAGAAGAACCTAGACGCAGTTCATTGGTTCCAAAACCAAGATCTCCCAAAAAGTGACCCTAAGCTATGTTACATGGATCTCTCATTCGCATGAATTACTCGTGTCGAACAGGAGTGGCATGGGAGTGGGTACTGCAGGAAAACTTACTACACAGTACACACTTCAACACAAACCAAAATTCTATGTAAGGCCCTAAGTTTAAAGAGATAATACTAAAAGCGCCTTGAGTAGTAACTTACTTTCCGTGAGCTGTTTCTCCAGAAAGCATAACAGCATCAGCACCCTCTCTAACAGCAATCGCAATATCTGATACTTCTGCTCGAGTTGGGGTGGGATGGACAATCATGCTTTCCAGCATGTTGGTGGCAACGATGACAGCTTTTCCCATACTTCGGCAAATATTGATGATTTCTTCCTGCATATCAAGATATTTCCATCAAAGGAGAAATAGAAAATACATGGTCAAGATCTCTTATGAAATGGTAAGAAATTGCATCCAGTTTTGCATCCTTGCAGTAAAATCTACAACTACAGTATTGTCGACCTTTACCTGCAACAAAGGAACCTCCTCGATAGGCAGCTCTGCCCCAAGATCTCCTCTTGCAACCATCGCCTGAGTAGAACAGTTAAAAACCATTAATTTGGGTTATTAGATGTCTGTCAAGGAAAAAGATAGAAAACTCAAGCTACGATCCAGGACAAACATGCAAGTAGTAAGTCCACAAAAAGTGATAAAGGTTTCCATAGGAGTAGGAACTCCACTAAAGTCTAGGAAATGGTAAAACACATTTCGATATAGTCTCTTGTGGCTGTGAGCAAAACATAGGTGGGATGAGTGTTGCTGCAGGTAAACATCAAGCATAAGTATGAGACTGAAGTACCCTTTGCATAGAGCCTGATTTGAGAAGAATAGATATAGAAGATATAGCCGATTGATTGATTGATCTTGTGGGCTTTAACTCTTAAAATCCTCTAATCTTTAATAGAGAGAAAAGGAAGAATAAGCTCTTAATTATTTAAGTACAATCTGTGATTTCCAAATGTTGTTTAAACAGTGTATGCCAATTCAGCAATCAAGAAGAAAGAACATACTACCAGCAATATATTTGATCTGCCAGACACTGAATCTTTACTAAACAATACAACAACATACCCAGTGTAGTCCCACAAGTGTGGCATGGGGAGGGTAGAGTGTACGCAGACCTTACCCCTACCTCGTAGAGATAGAGAGGCTGAACCAGTAAAATAAAGGCCTAGAGAAATACCCCATCTGATGCAGTAATTATTGAATGCAAATTCGGGATGGAGTCTGCACTCTCAATTTTCACAATAACATGAATATCTGCACCACAACCTGTCATATAAAAAAGAAAATGGCTAGTCAAAAAGTGTTGAAACAAAACAGGATAAGCACTCATTAGCACTTTCAGTGCTCACTAAAAGGAAATGGACCCAGTGGAATTACTCTTCAAATAATTCTTCAGTTCATGGACCACTGCTGCATCTTTGACGAAGGAAACAGCATAAAAGTCAATGTTATTGTCTACTCCGAACTTGATATCATCCCAGTCCTTTTCTGTTGCACAATGTGGATTACTGTATCAGCAAGGCAAGCATTCTTCTGACAGAGTGACTGTCTCATGCTTTCACATGCAGATAAGACCTGAATTTATAGGAAAAAAAAGGAAGTAGTCTGACCAGTAATAGAGGGAAGTGTGGCACTTTTGCCTCGAACATTTAGATGTCTCCTCGACTTAAGCTCCCCTCCATCAATAACTTCACACTTCACAGATTCTTCTGTCTTGGATTTTACCTGTAAAGACATCATGCCACCTATAGCAGGAAAAAGAAATTACATTTAGCTGAACTCTGCAAAAGTTTCAGGTATATCTACCAAGAAAAATACACACAAGCGGAACAACAAAGTATTACTTTAGGCATGACTGTTATATGGTATCTTACCTTCCCCTCAAAGTACTATCACCCACCAATAAAGCTCAAAATGTGGTGTCTAACTTGTAGTATTTAGGTCTCTCAATGGTTTAATGTTTTTGAGCATGTCAGTACAGACACTTATACAAGATGTCTATTGCATGTGCAAGAGGGAGATGGGCCATGACACTAGCAATGAGATAAAGTTCATTACTTCACATAATAATGTCACAGCAAAGAATTCTCCAAGGGCAGTCACCGGCTAGGCCTCATATCGCCATATGCTGACTCAATCTCTGGACCTTTAAGGCAATATTTGATTATAGAGAGGCTTTGATTTACTATTTAGTTAATGTTTGGTCTTATGAAACACAATTTGTGTCCCTCACGCCCTGCACCCCTCTGATTCATGGAGATGTACCAAGCATAAGATATCGCAATCCAAGTGGTGAGAATAAGAATGAAATGGCAACAACATAACCTGCAGGGGAATTTTTTCCCTACTGACAGGTCTACGATATTTCATGCCGAGTCAAAAAGAGGAAGTTCAAGAAGTCAATTTCAATGCCTTCCAATGACAAATCGATATAAGATGTTATCAGACAAAACTAGTTAAAGGACAGAAAAGAAACCACTTAACGTACCATCAACGAGAAGCATGTCTCCTACTTCAACATCATTTACAAAGTCATCATAGTTGACACTGACACAGTCAGCTGTGCCAACCCCTCTCTGAATTGTGAAAGTGAATTCCTGTCCAGGTTTCAACATGATTGGCTGGGGCAAGTCACCACTTCTAACCTCAGGACCCTGTTAGCACCAAAACAACAAAGCAATAAGAGGCTAAAAATTAAACTTGACCAAAAAGAAGGATCACATCCAGCTAAATAATTATCAGGTGATAATGAGAGGAGGAAGTTATCATTGATGATACATATCACGTAAGAGCAATTTCACTAATAAGCAACGAACAAACAATTGATTAACAGTGATACAGGAATTATCTGAAGTTGTATATGAGTTGAAGCCTGAAAGGGAACAATATTTTCTTTCTTCTGGTCCCAACTTGAAAGCAATAAGAGGCTACAAAATGAGAACTGACCAGAAAGAAAGATCACATCTAGCTAAATAGTAATCAGGTGATAATGAGAGGTGAAAGTTATCTTTGATAATACATATTACATGAGAGCAATTTCACTAATTTGCAATGATCAAACAATTAATTAACAGTGACATAGTAATTATCTGAAGTTGTATATAAGTTGAAGGGGACAATGTTTGCTTTCTTCCTAGTCCTAAGTTGAAAGGGATGAATACAGTAAAACTGGAGGTGCTCAAAATAAACTGGAAAACCAAATAGGACCAAAGAATGAATTAAACTAACAAAAAAATGTAGTTTGATCCGGTATAGTTTGGTTTTAAATTTAAAAAAAGGAAAAGATAATTCATAGTTTGATTTGGTTTTTAATGTAAGGTAAAAATGAGAGCCTAAACCAAATCAACCGATAACATATATACCGCATGCGTGTGAATGTTGTAAAATTATGAGGCAATATTTTACCCTTCTCATTCTTATGCAGTTTTCAACTACTTTTACTAAATGAATATCACTTCTTCATGATACTTTAGAGTTAAATATGCAGGGTTAAACTGGATAGCTGGCCCCTCTTTAATTCAACATGGCTCCTGTAAATGACCCTTGAGACATGTAGGAAGGATGCAACTATCTTTTTCTCCCAGTGTATATTTGGCATTTAAATCTAAGGTGAGTTTTAGCAGAGCTGTCATTTTTGTTAAAGATTCAATTGATCCTAACTGCAGCCTTCACTGTTGTTTCTTTCTTATGCACGAGACAAGCAGAGATGTGAAATATTTCTTCTCAGACTGAAGTCTTTTGGAGCCCTTTATTTCCCGTCATAGTTGTGGATGTGGTTAGCTTCAGAAATGATAGCTTTGATTTTAAACATTCAATGCAGGAAAAGTAAACTGGTTCGTAGAATTTCATGTGACAGGAACAAACGCAAAATCATCAAAGAAAAAGAGTACCTAAATACACTGTACCCAACAAAGATGATTTATGCTTATTGATTTGGTTTATAGACTTGGCACACAGACATAGTTGGGTCCATGAAAAAAACAATTCAAAATGAATCATGAACAACCCCAACTGGTAAAAAATGCTACACTCCAATTACTGTTATTTAACAGCTTTGTAGAAGAAAACATAATACACAAAATAGTTCGATAAAAAAATAAACTAATTCTCATTTTAACAAATTGCCCATTTCAACCTAGCTTCCAAGTTCAATCAATCTAGATTTTCTAACCAATGTAGTGACTGTCATTCACACAAATCCCCGTGTTGTTTAATAGGAATAAAGTCAATTCAATTTTGAACAAATACCTCAATTGTGGTCATAGATCAACTCTTTGGCTACATGATGTTAAAATCAAATCTGGTGGATAACTGTTTACTTTATAAAAAACAATTTCCTCTTTGCTACCACCAAACTAGTGCCCACATAAAAATGAAGAAAATTTTACCTTGGTGTCAAGCATGATGGCGATGACATTGTCCTTAGACTGTGCATTATACTCCTTAACCAAATCAATGACTTTCTGGTGGGATGCATGGTCTCCATGAGACATATTCATCCGAGCAACATTCATTCCAGCTTCAGCTAGCTTCCATATCATTTCTCTTGTGTTAGTAGAGGGACCAATTGTGCATACTATCTTGGTCTTACGTCTTACTGTAGGTTTTGACCACATGCCCACTGAAGTGTCACCAAGTTGCTGAATTGCCTGAAGATACTTCTCTTGCTCCTCACTCTGTAACATTAACAACCACTATCAATAAGCCTTCATTTGGATATAGAGTCAAAAAAAATCCATAAATGTGAATTTATAACACTCACTCTACTTCAATTTATTTATCTTACATTCCTTTTTAGTCCATTTCAAAAAAATGTACATTTATTTTTTTCGCAACTCTTTAATTCTAACTTTCCACATGTTATGTTTAAATCTGAACGACATTTTGATGCATTCTACATATCTTTAGTTTATGACACAAAATTCAAAAAATTTCATACGTTTTTTAAATCCATGCCAAGTCAAAACTCAAAACCATACAAACAAATTGAAAAGAGTAGTAATATTTTACAAATTCACATAGCTCAAACAAAGGCTCGTTTTTGAAGTGGCAGTTCACAAATAGAGTTGAGATTGGCTACAACTTACATTTCTAGATGTACAGAAGCACAGTAAGCATAGCAGGACTCAGAAAGGATAAATACAAAATAAATAATTTGCAGGAAACAGAAAAGTGAAGGACCTTTGGGACATCTTCAGGAGAAACGGGGAGAACTTGAGGCTCGGCACGCGTAGATCTCCTAGCAATGATCTGCGGCATATTAACACGAATAGCTCTACAACTATTGCTCCGTTCATTTCTTCCTAGCACTTTTGAGGCAAAGCTTGGAGTCTTAAGCTTCTCAACTTGACTCTGCAGAGATCCATGGCTAGGGCTGGAGAATGAAGATTGAATCGAACGAGTAGCCACCACTTGAGCCATTTTCCGGAAATGGACGGAGAATTATAGAGCGAGAAAAATGTGTGAGGAAATGAGGAGCGAGAGAGTAATAAAAAGCGAAAGCTGAGAGTGTTGGGACTTTGAAGTAATCGCAGCTATGGTTGGCGGAGATGACAAAGAGAGAGGGGCCTTGCCTCGTGAATATCGAAGCTGGAGGGTTGTTCAACTGTGTTACGGTACTGTTGGGTTTTAGGAAAGAAATAAACAAAACTTTAAGGGGTCGTTTGGTAGAGTGTATTAGAAATATAATGCATGCATTAGGTGTGTGTATTAGTAATACCTTGTTTGGTACACTTTTTTATGTCATGTATAACTAATGCAAGCATTAGTTATACACTATATTGTGTATTAAGTTGTGTATTACTAATACCAAGAAATTCTAGGTATTAGTAATACATAGCACTTTAACACTTGCATTATATTATATAATTACAAAAGTACCCTCAAAGCCTTTTAAAAAATCATTTTCCATAGTACTTGCTTCAGAAACCTTTCATCTCTCTGTACTTTGTCAATGGAAATTCAAGAGTAGGTTTCTTCTTCCTTTTGCTCAATCGAACATTGTTTGCTCATCTTTACAAGGTTAGTACTCTTATCTTTCATTAAAATCTATATTTTTCAACATCTCTTTCACAATTTAAGATGAAGTTTAGGTTTAGCTTATTTTTTTAATATGCTTTGAGCTCATCTACTCCACTCTTTATATGGTCGAAAATTAGGAATTTATGCACATAGATACTTATTTAAAAGCTTTATATGTATTCATTCTTATTTTTATGGCAAATATAGGTGTTATTATGGATCTTCAACCATTATCAGGTATTGAATATATTATTCTTGTGGAGATATTGTTTCAGCAAGTTCTTGTTCTCCTTATTTGTCTTTTCATGGCTAGTCATGGTCATTCTCTAAGAAGACGATGTCGAAACAGACGTGAGGTTAGGTATCGTATGAGTGTTCGAGTTCCGAAAATCATTTCTCACTTACACTATATCATAAATGATAATGGTAGTGTATGTATCGATAAGTTAAGAATGGATAGAAATGCCTTTCACACTTTAGTTCTCTTAACTAAGGATATTGGAGGTTTGACCGATAGTAAAAGTATGTCAAGCAGCGAAAAATTAGCAATGTTTTTAAATATCTTGGCTCACCATGAGAAAAATAGATCAATCAAGGTTGATTATATTAGATCGGGATGGAGCGTAAGTCAGGCTTTCAATGAATGCTTGAGTGCTATTCTCAAACTAACTCCATTGCTACTTGTTAATCCTAAACCAGTACTTGAGGATGAGATTGAAGATCGATGGAAATGGTTTGAGGTAGGTGAAATTGTCGTTTATCATCTTTTAACTTGTATACAAAATATGCAGTTTTAACAGTTTTAGAAAAATATTATATATTTTGAGATAACACTATAATTTATCTTAAAGGGTTGTTTAGGTGCACTAGACGGTACTTACGTTTAGGTTTAGCTTATTTTTTTAATATGCTTTGAGCTCATCTACTCCACTCTTTATATGGTCGAAAAATTAGGAATTTATGCACATAGATACTTATTTAAAAGCTTTATATGTATTCATTCTTATTTTTATGGCAAATATAGGTGTTATTATGGTATCTTCAAACCATTATCAGGTATTGAATATATTATTCTTGTGGAGATATTGTTTCAGCAAGTTCTTGTTCTCCTTATTTGTCTTTTCATGGCTAGTCATGGTCATTCTCTAAGAAGACGATGTCGAAACAGACGTGAGGTTAGGTATCGTATGAGTGTTCGAGTTCCGAAAATCATTTCTCACTTACACTATATCATAATGATAATGGTAGTGTATGTATCGATAAGTTAAGAATGGATAGAAATGCCTTTCACACTTTAGTTCTCTTAACTAAAGGATATTGGAGGTTTGACCGATAGTAAAAGTATGTCAAGCAGCGAAAAATTAGCAATGTTTTTAAATATCTTGGCTCACCATGAGAAAAATAGATCAATCAAGGTTGATTATATTAGATCGGGATGGAGCGTAAGTCAGGCTTTCAATGAATGCTTGAGTGCTATTCTCAAACTAACTCCATTGCTACTTGTTAATCCTAAACCAATACTTGAGGATGAGATTGAAGATCGATGGAAATGGTTTGAGGTAGGTGAAATTGTCATTTATCATCTTTTAACTTGTATACAAAATATGTAGTTTTAGAAAAATATTATATATTTTGAGATAACACTATAATTTATCTTAAAGGGTTGTTTAGGTGCACTAGACGGTACTTACATTCCCATTAGAGTTCCAATCCAACACAAACCCAAAGATAATAGAACAAGAAAAGGAGAGATAGCAACTAATGTTTTGGGAGTTTGTGATAGAAATCTCAATTTTACTTATGTGTTACCTGGATGGGAAGGTTCAGCTGCCGATGGTCGTGTATTACGAGATGATATAGTACGAAGGAATGGTTTGAAAATTAATGAGGGTAGGCCTTATATATGCTTTCAAGTTATATCATAGAAAGAATGGTACTAGTAACTAAATTATATCTTTATATTATAGGTAACTATTACTTGTGTGATGGAGGATATACGAATGGAAAAGGATTTCTTTCACCTTATCGAGGTTATAGATATTGGTTAAAGGATTGGCGAGGCGATAATCCATCGCCTCGATGTAAAGAAGAGCTTTTCAACATGAGGCATGCTAGAGCTCGTAATGTAATTGAAAGGGCATTTGGTTTGTTGAAAGGACGTTGGGGAATTCTTAGAAGTTCTTCATGGTACTCGGTTAAGGTTCATAACAGGATCATTAGTGCTTGCTGCTTGATTCATAATTTCATTCGTAGAGAGATGGAAGTGGATCCCTTAGACATTGATATAGAAGAACAAATGGAGTATCAACACGAGAATATTGATGTTGTTGAATCGTCGGAGGAGTGGACCACTTGGAGGGATGAGCTGGCTCAATCAATGTGGAATGCAAGATTTAACAATTGACATATTGCTACTTGTTAGCTATAGAACCTTTTTGGACTTCATTTGCTCTTTAGAACTGGCCTAGTATAAATTGTTTAACTGCCAGAAACTTCTGTTTTTTTGTGACCTTAATTGCACACCCTTATGTACTCTTCACATTTCTTTTGTTGTATGCTTTAGTTTATAGTGAATCTTATGATATTTGGTTCTTCCTGATTTTTCTGATAATCTGTCGAATAAAAGTTCTTACAGGCGAAATGAATAGTCAAACATCATCAAATAAGAAATCAAAAAAATCAAGCAACACAACACCTTCAACACGAAGGACATGGATTCCAGAAGAAGAACAAACTCTTTTAGACGGGCTTAAAGAGTTGTGTGCTAATGGTTGGAGAGGTGATAATGGAACCTTTAGACCAGGACACTTGATGGAGTTAGAACGTTATATACACAAATATCATCCTACAAGTGGATTGAAAGGTGAACCACACATCAAAAATAAAATGAGATATTGGAAAAGATGCTATGGAAGTATAGCTTTGTTGAAGACTCGAAGTGGTTTGGGATTTCAATATAGTGATGGAACTATAATAGTTGACGATCCAAAACATTGGATTGACTTTATAAAGGTAATTAATATATTTTTGTTATTTCATATGGTACTTTCCTTATTAGTTACTTTAATTATTCATAGTTGATGTGCCTTTAAACTAGTGATCAAGTAAATTGTTATCATCACATATACAGTAGCATCTAGCCTCTCTTTAGATCCTTTTACAGTTAATTAATATCATATTGTTCTGATCATTGATTGGTTGATCCTCTTTTGTTTTTTTCTGTGTTTGGGAAGGGAGTTACGAGCTCTCTCTTCTCGCCACCTCCTTTCTAAATTTAAGAAAAAGGAGTAAATGATTCTGCCAGTAGCAGCTGGAACATTGCATCAGTGGGACAATTAATATGGTAGATTGTAATGAATAAGGAAACAAAACCATATTTCCCACTTGCAAAAGCTAAAGAGAAAAAAGCAAACTGCCCAGTCCTTATCTGTGATAATAAATAAGAATCAATCTAAAGCTTCTTTTAACTAATTTTTTTTAGTAATATACGTATCCACTTTTTTCTACTTTTCTTCTCATCCTTCCCTTTCCTTTTTCGATACTCTATAGTTATATATATTCGTTAAATGTCAGTCAGGAATTTCATCATCGAATAGAAGATGTGCTACTCAGGGATTCCTGATTGGATTAACGAAAGAGAACGATATGTTCATATTGCAAGGGAACAGGTTCCTCTACAGGCAACTG